ACTTTGAACTACGGGGGGTATCAGTACAATTTAACCTCTCCCTGCCTCTAAGAGAATATGAAGAAGTATAATATTCAATACATGGGAGAAACAAAAATGATAGAGATCCGTGTAGAGATGAGTCAACTTTTAGGATTCCAGAATAGTCTTAAGGATGTGGAAAGTAAGGAAACAGCGTCTCTTCAGCAGGACGTGATGTTATGTGATGGATATATATATAAGTACATAAGACCTTCGATGGTGATACGTAGACTGAAAAGGCAATTTTAATTATGTGTAGGATGATTCGAGTCCGAACGTATTGCATCTATTTATGCATACATAAAACGCTGTGTAGGTATAGGCCTATAATATCATATACACCCTATGTAAATAGTTCTGCTCTTTTACGAAAAACCCAGAGAACATGAGAGAAAAAATTCAAGAGGAGAATTCGATAGGAGAGGAGAAGAGGAGGAATCCGAATTTTGCTGTTATATTGGGCAAATTTATTTGTGATATACTATGAAGATAGTCTTTTTACAACTTCCTATATTATATATGCTACTACTCATCAGAAAAATATGCATTTGTAACTGCTTTTTCTTAATGTTCTCAATGATAAGGCGGCTGTGTCTATGTGTTATCTATGGATTCGTTTATTTATTCATTTGTCCATGTTTCTGTATTTTTGTTGTATTTTCCTTTTTTCTGTATCATTTTTAATTTGGTCACTACTGAGCTGTGTTTGTGTAACATGCAGTAAAAAAAGTTATCTGAAACATTGTATGTTCCTTTTTTGTTTCTTCTCTAACGAATGTTATGAGAACTTATAATAAGAGGATCCTTAGGCTTGGGAAGGTTTTTAATGGATTCTTTCTTGGGCGCTGCGTCAGAAAAGGTAAAAAAGAGAAGAAACACACGGGAAAGAATGAACGAAAAACAGAGGAAGGAGGAGCCCCGTAGAAACCTACCTGAGTGCGTTGGTGGGGGATCTTCTGAGGTCTACCTCAGGGGGAATATGCACCATCCTAAATAAGATAGTCTTTGTTACAAACGCAGGATGAGGAATGGGTTTACCAGTCATCCAGTCACGAAATAGAAAAAAATAAAAAGAGAAAAAAAAAAAGGAAAAAAGAAGAAAAAAAAACAAAGGGAAGAAATTACATACAACATACTATATAGAAAATGTCACACTGCTGTACAAACTCTGTGCAGACGTGCACAATTCGCAGGAGAATCATTTTCACTGCACTTCCCCGCATAAATGTTTGATGTCGCTCCTGTGAAAATGAAAGCATCGGTTCCTTTGCCACAAGAAGTAACGTTTCCCATATCTGCAATCAGAGTGCAGGATAACGACACGTGTGCACTTCTCATCAAGAGTTATCGAACTTCTGAGGAGCACACGTATGTATAACAGAATAGGAGCATATTGCCCCAGAGAAATTTGACGAAAACTGAGCGTGTTTGTTAGCCTCCGTGGTGCTAATATTCCTTAGGTGCTTATAATTCTTCAGAAGTAAGCGTAATTGTAAATGTATCATTTTTCTAAAATAGTCTAATGCAAGAAATTTATTAAGGAATGTATACATGGATACAACTTCGGGAGTGTACATAAGTATAAACAGCATATAGGCAATGCAGATAGGAGACATGGTCCTTTTAACATTCGAATCTCCTTCTGAAGATTTTGTACGACAACTTGTGATGCTTTTACTTGGTCGTGCTCCGGATTCATTTAAGAAGACGTTAGAATCTGTTATGGTCCGGTTGAGACAAATCTATATAATCCTCTCTTTAACCGTAGGAGGAACATCAATAATATTTAATTTGGTGTCAATAAAGTCGGGTGCATTCTCGAGATATGCGGCCTACAGAGTATAATATATATATGAACCATAATCGGCGTTGAGATTTTTGGTATTCTCTTTGTACGTGTTTTCAAATTGTTTTACTGGATTCTTTCCACACTCAATGCGGTTTTATGCATAAAAGGCTTAGCTGCTGTACGCTGTGCGCATATTTTTGCTTATATGCCTTCTTCTCTCTCGCTTCGGGGGATTCATTATTTGTCTCATTACACGATTCCGTTTTACTAGTTCTAGTAGATGGATTCCTCCAATTTGTTGAGTTATAGTTTATCGCTATTATCTTGGCGTATGGTGCAATGGCAGAATGTGGATCTATACATTATGTAGCAGTTATTAAATCAAATCGTTGTCTGCATATGGGAGCGTAAATATTTTATTAATGTAATTGAAGATACACGCCATCTGGACACAGTCGCTGATAGTGCAAAAGAAACAGGCGAAAGAGCACCAAGTCGATTGACTTCCTGTCCAGATGTGCACATATATTATAGGGGATACACAGACATCCACATGGGGAGGGAGAATTATGAACATAGTACGTATTTACATACGCTTGAGCCTAAATGGCGAGTACACAAATTTCCACCTGCAACCGAAATAGTAGAGGGATAGAACAAACACAAGAATTAACATCGTAATACTTAAATATGCTACACTTGCACCTGCTTTCTCGGGTGTCCGAAGAATTGGAGGCTTTGCACATACATGAAATTATGAAAGGAAAGGGAAAAGAGAAAGAAAAAAAACACAACACTTAAGTGGAGTAGCAATTTAGGCAGTAAGGACCAATACCGCTTCATTATTTTATGATTCTATTCTGTTACTATAAACAATTTGTTAAATTAAATGGAATTCCTCCTCTGAATTTGTTCCTTCCTGA